GTAGACGTCGCTACCGAATCATCGACGCTAGGATTCGATCCTTGAAGGCCGACCTTCTTGCCGACAGACTTACTGACTTGAACTACACAGACCATGTGTCAGAGTTGCTTCATCTTGGCTGAACATTCAGATTACTTTAGTGCAGATGTAAAGGAGTTTTGGCAAGAAGAAATAACTGGACTCATCTTTCATATATTTATTACTTATACACCTGCAGAAATCACTTATTTATATAAAACAGACACACAAGTATATATATACTATATATACAAATATGTAATATTGTGTGACATATGATACATACATGTTGTTTCATTGACTAAATAAATATATTGTCTACTATATATCACACTATGTTTGTTAATCTCGAGAACACTGGGAGTGAAGTCACTCATGTAGAACATCACCTCCCTTTCCCCGGACTGTCGACAAGTAATTTGGACGGATTATTTCTTGTTGTCGACAGTCCGGGTATAAACCGCACGACCAGTCAGAGCTGTCACCGGGTTGTGCCAACGTGGAATATAACATAACACAAGATCCTGTTGATAAATGGCCAGATTTTAATTCTTTTGTTTTTTAGAAATTAACGTAAATATCCGTTAACGTGAATATATATTATCGACAATGTTTTCTTGTACTCTATCGGAGAAAGCATTTTGATATTCACGTAAATGTTGGCAATGTGACTTTTCCGCCTTCTCCCATATTTCATTTTTGAAAGTTTCTGTACATATTCTTTATATGTGTGCACGCCTGATATATTTAGTTATTGTCTGTCTACAATAACCCATGGTATATTTGATGGAACAAGTATATATGGATGACAACTTCTTTTATTCTCGAGCACGACGTTTCCATACAGGTTCTTGTTTAGTTTTCAAGTAAGAAATTTCTTAGTTTCTTAGTTTCTTACTTGAAAACGATACAAGAACCTGTATCGAAACGTCGTGCTCGAGAATAAAAGAAGTTGTCATCCATATATACTTGGTCTATCTGACTTCAACTTCTAAATACCACTCAAAGAAGTCATGGTATATTTGGTCTACAGCGGGTTGTGGGTATTGACCTTCCTGATTCAATTGAAAGCAGTTGTCTGAGTAAAGTTCATTCAAATAATATTTTTGGAATATTTGACATTTACAACCCGCTAATACAATTTTTTGTGCATGGAAGGTTGAATAACGTTGAAATATACCAATCAACCGTTCAAATACCACTCAACCCTTGAAATACCACTCAACCGTTCAACTCCCACTCAACCGTTCATCTAGCACCAAACCGTTCAACTAGCACTCAACCGTTCATCTAGCACCCAACCGTTCATGCAGCACCCAACCCTTCAGCTTTCACTCAACCCTTCAAATACCACTCATCCGTTCAAATACCCACTCAACAGTTCATTTAGCACTCAATCTTTCAAATACCACTCCGCCTTTCAACTACCACTCAACCGTTCAAATACCATTGCACCCTTCAAATACCACTCATCCGTTCAAATACCCACTCAACAGTTCATTTAGCACTCAATCTTTTACCACTCCGCCTTTCAACTACCACTAACCGTTCAAATACCATTCCACCGTTCAACGAACACTCAACTCTTCAACTACCACTCAGCCGTTCAAATTATACTCAACCCTCCAAACTCCATTTAAGTCAAAAGTTAACTTCGAATGGAAGCAATCACGGTAAGAACACTCTTAAATTTACGAGCTAAGGTTTTCATAAACAACCAGGTGTCAAAACAAAAGAACAAATCTGCCATACACACCGTGGGTTGTATGATAACCATCTCCCCGACCGTGGTGGTATGACAAAACCCCACCCCCGCACGGGCTAGACGTGTGAGAACCTTCTTGCAGACAATGGCCATATGCTCAAATGTTACAAATTTATCGAATGTCCTTGTTCGCAACGAGTCTAAGCGATTCCCCATAAGGAATCAATATTTACAAATGTGTTTTCTATACCAAGCTTATCAAAAACACAACTCGCTGTAAAACCACCAGTATGTGTGGCTTTTTCAGCGTGTTTTTAAGAAACGGAGGCAGAAAAAAGGTGCAGTGTTTGTGGTGTGAATAGCGATAACCTTTCGATACCCCAGGGGCTCATATTACACTCTTCTGTTTCAACTCTAGAATCCGTTCCTAAATACAAAGAAAACCCCTTCTTGTTTTTCCGTTATGAGGTATGCGCTAAAATCAGTCTCAAAGAACAAAGGATCCTTTCACCCCTGGGCCCAAACGACGTACAAAGTAAATATTTGAAGGCCATTTCTAAGATCATCTCCGGAAAATGTGTCAATAGACGCAAGACGGTATAAAAGAACACATTCTTTTATGGTAGAAAAAAAATAGCCGAAGGAAAACTTTGACTGACGACGGATAACAGATATAGCGTCCATCACATACCAGGCTCCGCTATTTTAGGGGCTTCCTCTTATCGCAGGAATATGCACTACAAGGCTAAATTGTGCGCGCATGATTGACAACGAGTCAACTGGTCGGTCGGATTTCCATGTATCTATTATACGTAATAAGGAACAGAAGCCGCAACATCCGTTGCAATTACGTTAATTATATGTGAATAAACAGTGTGAACCTTAAGTGAGTTGCTGAAAACACAAATTATCTCCTTGATTAAGCAAGGTCACCGAGTCCACCATAACATCTACAATTTAGTTTTAAGGGCCGTTTTCCTATTCCTGAAGGTATAATCATGACTGGCTGACTGATGTACACTCCGTCTTTGTCGGGCACTGGATAGATACATCTTTGTGCATCTCCCAGCAACGTGAACTGAGTAATTACTGGGTGCCCTATCATTTACCCAGTCTCGGTCCTGGGATGGCCAATATCCCTGTAATTAGTCGTGACGATACTAGCATGCTCTGTCAGCGCCCCTAGCGGGACCTTCAATCATTCCAAGAAAAGAGGATTTCGGGCGTACTAAACTGTAGCTATTAAACGTGGAATTTATTAATACCATTTCCATCCAGGAAATCGGAACTGGGCAAGCATAAAATAACAACAGGAGCAAGTGTTCCAGCAGCGAAGATGTCAATAGCGTGTGTGATTTGTACCCCTCTTTATGTTGACTTCAATTGTTTACTTTTTTAACTATGCGCAAGATTTTGAAAGGAATGTAAAGGCATGGCAAAATGGAAAATGTGTTACATTAAACACACGCGTTCATGAAAGCATTTTGTTGGGTGTGCGAGAGTGAGTAGAAGTTTAAGCCGCTCTTAATACTTTTTCTAAAGTTTCACTGCCTTTGTGATGAGTAGAGCAGTAACCCCTGGCTGTTTGTTACATGAACATATTGAAATAACCTGAAATATGTAATAATACTAACTTTTAATGTCAATCTATACCTGTGTTCAAACCAGCGTATTATGAAAATGAAAATTCCCATTTCCTTGACTGGGACTGTGCATCTGGCGTCTTGTTGAAATGTTGGAATTAATATATTCATCGTCTCACCGACGGCAGTTAAACAAATGGGCATCGAGTGCAAGAAGAATTATATAGTTTCCCTTTCAAATATTCCTGCTATGTAATGTTAGCGCTAATTATCTAGCGAAAGCTCCATAGCAGGGTCCAGTGGCATTACCCATCTGTTAGCGGGTTTACCATTCGTCCATTACCCTGTGAGGTGAAGTTACACCATCCCACGGTGCAATCAGAGGATTCGCTAACACATCTGGTCTGTACCGTTACAATGAGTTTTCCTCATCAGAAGGGGTTCATGGGTTACAAGATTTCACCACCTGTCTAATCTAGAGCGTGATAAATGGCATTGCTACCAGGACAAGACCCACCAGACTTGCGGACTTAGGAAAATGAGACTTGCCGTGGTAAAAGATATATTTGCCTCCAAAGTTTTACCAATAGTTCCCGTACGTAAAAGTTATCGTTGTCTTTCAATCTTCTCGTTATGAGGTTTTGCACTGAGAAGTTGGAGAAGGTAATTGTTTCCATATGACCCGATCCAAACAATACTGGCTACATGCGCTTACAGATATTCTTAATCAGAATCATTAGCAGACCATACTGAATATAAAGCATATAGCTCCGGTGTGTCCTGAACGTCCACATACTTTAGTGTTTTAAGAAAGGACAAAAGTGACACACATACGGAACAATACCTCAGAATGTTCCTCAGAAACCAAATATTTCCCGTATTTCATTAACAACTGCACTATTGATATCTAACATATGTTATATTTGGGATTACACTTTCTCAGTAAAGTACAGATTCTAGTACCTTGTTTTGGGTTGAGTCCCATCCGGGATTCGAACCCACACCCTCAGAGTCACACCCTTGATATCAATATGAGAAGTTTTCTGCTGGTACTGTTCAACCGTTCAAAATCCTTCTCGACATGACCAAAGACTCCTTATAGTATGTCCTGTATATATTGGATTATACCAACACATAATTTGGCACATGTTAACGGATACAACTGCGGAGTTAACGTGTTATATTTCCACACCAAAGACACGAAAAAAGGCAAAATAAGTAAGCCTCTGTGAGTAGGTAGATTTTAGTGTCTGATTTAGGACTATGAAAAGGATGACAAAAATTGTGTCCCACGTAGTAGTGCACACGTACAATTCTGATACGATGACCTTGAAAAGTATAAATACTAAAATTTAGAATGTTACAGTTAAGCATAAGTTTAAAATAAGTTTCAGTCTAACAATACTTCGGTCAAATGTGCAAATGTTTAGTTGAAACATTCATGTACAATGCCATGTGTGCAAAATCGAGAATACTTTATCCATTGTTTTTTTTAGGATATTTAGTTCACAATGATTGTTTGGAATTCAGTAAATGTTTTTTTAAAGGAATATTACCTAATGTTATTGACAAGTGTGTCTATTTTCCAAGGACAACAAACTTTATTATGAGACGTGCGCCAAACACGACAACGACGATTTGTTCTCATCCTAATACAAACATAGCATAGAAGCGTAGGAAAAATTGCAACTTACCTGCATCAACACGAGTCCCACGGCCAAAAACAATTGGCAAAATTGAATCATGGTTAGCTGGGGAATGTTCCGTATCCGTACATCCACTCCGTCCTGGGTAGAAGTAGACAGGCTGGAAGTGTCGGTAATTTAGATATACTTGGCCATGCTACCTCAAGAACAGCAAAACACGCATCGTGGGTTATCCTTCACATGGGTTGCGTTTTGGCGATATGTTCACGTGTTCGTGGCTGCCCTGTGCTCACGACAGTCAAGCGGCGCTTTCTGCAGTATTGTGAACTAGCGGCGTACTCATTGTAACACACATTGTGTTTAGTTCGCATGTGTTGATTCATTGATCTTAATGTTATCACTTTACTTACAACCCATTGGGGAATCGAACTTAGACTGATTGCACTGGATCACAGCGCAGCTCATGTCGCCTTCCTTAATTCAAGGATAACGAGTATTATGATAACAACATGCGTCATCCAAAGAACATGTTTTTGGCGAGAAATGAAATCATGAGATTTACAGCTGTGAAGTTATATTTGAATGGGGGGTTTCCACACAAAGTATCACAAATGTTGCGGCTCTATACAATTACCCCGGACACTTGATGGTGACGTTATTTCATGTGTCCTTGCTAACACATTTAGGGCAAGAATAACCTCTTGCTGATCCTATTTTCAAATCGGGAACAGACTTCCATTTAAAAAAATGATAGTTTAAAGATGTATGCATCTCGGAACTATTATACAGGTAAAGGGGAAAAGACAGTTAGTATAAAACACCAAGCTTCTCCCAGTCTTACCCCAGTCGGACTGAGGCGAATCCCCGCTACGTCACTCTCGCAGGTTTCCTGGCGTTAACCGGGAGTGTGGTTGTCCAACCGAACGTGCAGCGAGTTAAGGAAGTGTTTGCTATCGATGTTATTTCATGCGTTATAGACAGGTTCCAGTGAAGTCCCAACGCTTGGCTGACTATTAAGTACAGAAGTGTTTGTGGATAAACGTGTATATGATCTGCAGAGAGCATCCATTAGACGATTCGTTTTCCCTGTGATCTCAACGAATGTTTTTCACTAAGAACGACACGGAGGATTGAAAGCATGTTCAGATCATGATCAGTGGCGTTAAATTCTAGATTTAAAGAAAGCTGCTTATGGTTCTGTTCGAGCGTCCATAAGCGCGGGATATTAACCTTCCATAATATTATGTCGGTTCGCTCGTCACACCGAAGACCCGGGTTCGATTCCCCACATGGGTATAATGTGTGAAGCCCATTTCTGGTATCCCCCGCCGTGATATCGCTGGAATATTGCTAAAAGCGGCATAAAGCTAACCTCACTCACTCATGCACTCATTTCCCCTCATGACACGAAGGCACTAGTCATATCCATAACCAGTAGGATGTTGTCATATCTATAACCAGCAGGGTATTGTCATATCCACAATCAGCAGGGTGTTGTCATATCTATAACCGGCAGTGTATTGTCATATCTATAACCAGGAGGATTTTGTCATATCTATAACCAGCAGTGTATTGTCATATTTATTTCACCAGAGTATTGACATATCCACAATCAGCAGTGTATTGTCATCTCCACAACCAACAGTGTATTATCATATCCACAACCAGCAGGGTATTGCCATGTCCACAACCAGAAGTGCATACTCATATCCACAACCAGCAGGGTATTGTCATATCCACAACCAGCAGGGTATTGTCATATCCACAACCAGATGTGTATTGTCACATCTATAACCAATAGGGTATTGTCATATCCACAACCAGATGTGTATTGTCACATCTATAACCAATAGGGTATTGTCATATCCAAAACCAGCAGTGTATTGTCATATCCACAACCAGCAGTGTATTGTCATATCCAAAACCAGCAGTGTATTGTCATATCCACAACCAGCAGGGTATTGTCATGTCCACAACCAGAAGTGAATTGTCACATCTATAACCAGCAGGGTATTGTCATATCAACAATAAGCAGTGTATTGTCATATCTATAACCATCAGGGTATTGTCATGTCTATACAAGACAACCACCCAGTTGATGGCATATCCATTACCATCAGGGTATTGTCACATGAATAATACCAGCTGGCTATTCTCATCTCTAAAACCCGCTCAGATGTTTCGACTGCATAACGTGCAGTCTCTTGGGGTTTATATATAAAACCGTTAACCGGAAAGCTATTTTGCATCTCTACAACCACTAACCAGGAGCCTATCTTCATCTCTACAACCAGTAACCAGGAGCCTATCTTCATCTCTACAGCCAGTAACCAGGAGCCTATTTTCATCTCATCAACCCATAACCAGGAGTCTATTTTCATCTCTACAGCCAGTAACCAGGGGCCTATTTGCATCTCTACAACCCGTAACCAGGAGCCTATTTGCATCTCTACAACCCGTAACCAGGAGCCTATTTTCATCTCTACAACCCTTAGCCAGGAACATATTTTCATCTCTACAACCTGTAACCAGGAGCCTATTTTCATCTCTACAACCAGTAACCAGGGGCCTATTTCACTCTCTACGACCAGTAACCAGGAGCCTATTTTCATCTCTAGAACCAGTAACCAGGAGCCTATTTTCATCTCTACAACCACTAACCAGGAGCCTATTTTCATCTCTACAACCTGTAACCAGGAGCCTATTTGCATCTCTACAACCCGTAACCAGGAGCCTATATGCATCTCTACAACCTGTAACCAGGAGCATATTTTCATCTCTACAACCTGTAACCAGGAGCCTATTTCATCTCTACAACCACTAACCAGGAGCCTATTTGCATCTCTACAACCAGTAACCAGGAGCCTATTTTCATCTCTACAACCCTTAGCCAGGAACATATTTTCATCTCTACAACCTGTAACCAGGAGCCCATTTTCATCTCTACAACCCTTAGCCAGGAACATATTTTCATCTCTACAACCAGTAACCAGGAGCCTATTTTCATCTCTACAACCAGTAACCAGGGGCCTATTTCACTCTCTACGACCAGTAACCAGGAGCCTATTTTCATCTCTACAACCAGTAACCAGGAGCCTATTTTCATCTCTACAACCTGTAACCAGGAGCCTATTTTCATCTCTACAACCACTAACCAGGAGCCTATTTTCATCTCTACAACCTGTAACCAGGAGCCTATTTCACTCTCTACAACCCGTAACCAGGAGCCTATTTGCATCTTTACAACCTGTAACCTAGGAGCCTATTTCCATCTGTACAACCAGTAACCAGAAGCCTATTTTCATCTCTACAACCAGTAACCAGGAGCCTATTTCATCTCTACAGCAAGTAACCAGGAGCCGATTTTCATCACTACAACCCGTAACCAGGAGCCTATTTTCATCTCTACAACCAGTAACCAGGAGCCTATTTTCATGTCTACAACCAGTAACCAGGAGCCTATTTGCATCTGGAATCCCAGTACTGTATACTGATCTGTTAAACATGGATCCGAGTACTGTATACTGATCTGTTAAACATGGATCCCAGTACTGTATACTGATCTGTTAAACGTGGATCCCAGTACTGTATACTGATCTGTTAAACATGGATCCCAGTACTGTATACTGATCTGTTAAACATGGATCTCAGTACTGTATACTGATCTGTTAAACATGGATCCCAGTATTGTATACTGATCTGTTAAACATGGATCCGAGTACTGTATACTGATCTGTTAAACATGGATCTCAGTACTGTATACTGATCTGTTAAACATGGATCTCAGTACTGTATACTGATCTGTTAAACATGGATCTCAGTACTGTATGCTGATCTGTTAAACATGGATCTCAGTACTGTATGCTGATCTGTTAAACATTGATCCCAGTATGTATACTGATCTGTTAAACATGGATCCCAGTATTGTATACTGATCTGTTAAACATGGATCTCAGTACTGTATACTGATCTGTTAACCATTCATCCTAGTACTGTATACTGATCTGTCAAACATGGATCTCACTGCACCCTTCGGACTCCATGTGTTATATTTGATAAGTTATTATGTCATTCTGTATGTCTAATTGTATGTTATTCTTTATTTGAGCCGCACCACATCAGGGTAAGGAGGCAAAGCTACAGTCATTTCCTGGGGAGTATCGGGATTAAGACAAATGAATGGATGTATATATAACATTTTTTGTGCTTTCTGTTGTTTGTAAAGAAAGTAAAAGGAAGGAGTTGATACGGTTTTGTTTGAAACAACTGTAGTATGAACGGTGTTCCGCTGTATAGTTCCAAAAGGATGACCGAGCCAACAAACTGTTGCCAACCGCCACTCTGCATTAGTCAAGTTTTATCTGTATAAATCATGTCTGGGCCTGACAATTCAGTGAACGTATGACACGTGGCTTGAGATGCAGTAAAGCCTACCTATACACTGACGCAGCATGAAGCATAAACTCAACTTTAACCTCAGGGACACTTAAAAGAATTTAACAGTAAGTATTAAGTATTAACTCGCATTGTCAAATATAACGACAATTTGAATATGCATTTTGAAGTGCATCATTGGCAGTGTATGAAATAAAGGCCCGTCCGACCGCCCAAGACGGGCTAAAATTCTGATGGACGGTCTAACTTTACAGCTAGCCAGCCCGATGGTCTGGTAAATTTTTTAGATGTTCAATTTTGGGCTGGTAACATTTTGAAGTTACCAACCCTGATGTCAGGCTCGATTTTTGGCTTATTTCAAACACTGTCATTAGCGACATGTATAGTCCCCATCTCACTGCATATACATTATCACGTATACCGCATATACATTATCACGTATACATGTCATGGTGGGGTTACCAGGCAGGTTGGGTGACACAGAAACACTTCAGCGTTTGGCGTTGATGGCAAAGCTTCAAGGTAATCGGAATAGCATCGACGTGTGCGTCTCAAGGAGCAGGGTGTAAAGTTGGGCGTTCCACGGCACCTCGTTAGTAGTTATCAGCCAATAAACAGCAATTAGCTCCATGTGCTGGTGTGTCGTGGGTGTTACCGTCACACATAACACCTCTCAATTACCATAGAGTCAAGCTGACGTCCATGACGTCTCCGCTCTTCTGCGTCCGCTTGAGTTACATGCAGCCGTCAGTGCCACCATCAACGCCATGTTGCCGAAGTCTGACTCAACCATCACAGTCTACATTCATGGACTGGGATTATTATTAATGTTGTTCCACAGTGGAACCATTTGTGGATTTGAACGGATTCACATACGATGTTAAATGTAAGCAATGTGTATAACTTTGAACTTTGCAAACAAAGAGTACCACTACAAGGTTATATTTGGAATGCATAGTTTAATTTGAAACTTAACTTTAAAATGTTTAACAATCGCATAAAACAGGCCGTCATCGAAATTGATTCTTTGAAAATCAATAAAATTTGCTTCTATCGGCACAAATTTACATTTCGGTTCACGTAGTTGCAAATTCAGCACAGTGTCTTAGACTGGTTTGGGAATGAGTTCCGTGAGTATAAATAAACTTACTCAAATTTAAGGACAGACCCATGTCTCAGTTTTCAATTAGTTTGGAAAACAAATTCTGTTTACTTTCCTCAACCCCTCCGTGAGTCCAGCATATTGCACATACTGCAAGTAGTTACAGAGCTGCACGATGCATTTGATCATCATATGTTTTGATCCAGTTTGATCCCTGTATCTGACAAATCATCCAATAGAGGTAAAACCGAAACGTTTGCCTAAAATGCTGACAGTAGAAACAGGTTTACTAATGTTTGGTGTGGTAAAATTTATAAACATTCTCACGTCGTTAATTGTAAGACGAGAGTGAGACGATCGGATACAAAATGTCCACAACACGGCGTTTTGAGACACAGAAGTCAGATGTGATCTTCCAAAAGCGTACCGCCGACTTTAGATAGATTCGACGCTAATTAGGTAATTAAAGGGTTCACCTGACATGACCCCTCGTGAAGGGTTTGTTAGATCTTGGCGAGTTAAAGATCTGATCTTAATTACGTTGGGGGCTGATGGCGTCCAGTCTGATGGAGTTTCGCTGTTAAACATGTTTAATAAGTCCTATATGGTGCAAATAAATACATTGCTATTTGAAAGATAACTTTTTGTGATATGAAGGAATCCAGATATCCTTCAGTGTGCACGCCCACGACTTGGAACCTGAATGGTGGTTTATATACTACCCATCAAAAGTTTAGACTCACTTAAAGCACTCACTATATGTTATGTATATATATGTGGTTACATCGAAGATGAATTTCTCCACAAACTTGGGGGAACTAACTGCAAACCTTATGCAGATGAACTGCACGAGGATCATGCATAAAATGTCTGAAATGCATGTGCAAATATCGTGCATGTTAGCTGCTGTGTTTTGGTGTAAAGCTTTGTTAAGAATTCGCCAATTTTCACAGAGTTTCATCATTTATTGAACTCATGATAATAATCATTTCGACGTTACGAATTTGATTTACAATACATCAGTTCATGTTTAGGCAGTACCTTTAAACATTAAGGAATATTTTGCAAAATCTAGTTTAGAACAGTTGACTAAAGTAAGTGGCTACATTTACACTAGTGAGTCTAAACTTTTGATGGGTAGTATATATATATATATATTCCTGGTGTATCCATTATATATAATATGCTGGAACATTTTCTGTAATCTCATATAGTCTGCAAAAAGGGTACAATTCATGTGTGAAATGTATGATGCACATGCCCCCAACCTTACAATGCGTAGGGGAGTGTGTGGGTGGAAGGGGTTGTGTGTATGTGTGTGGATGGGGGTGGTGGAGTGGGTTGGGGTGGGGTATTGAAAGAAACCGTGAGGTACAAATACGAGAGTATTTGACACGTGTACCTCAATATAATCGTTATTTCATGGGAAGCATAAAGCTGCAACATGGAAGTATGATTCACTCACTCACTCATCTAGCGGCACTCACTCACTCATATAGCATCATAAGCAACCTTTGTTCCGCTCCTCTCGTAATCTCATAGCGAGATAGAACACGTACGTCTATATGAGCAGGGGCATGTATTTTATAGCTGTGTTTTAAGATGAACAATCCGGCAATTGTATCTAAAGCCAAGCAATTGAGATGGCTTGCGGACCAGCACGGCGCCCACTCCGGGGTAAGACGCTCTCCAAACACTGCTCTCTGCACTGGTTTGGAAATATGTAGTTTGTTTACCCTTTGCTTTGCATTATCAGTTATAAAACACTTTCACGAGATTTTTATCCGAGAAACTAAGTACGAAAGGGCCTGTCTTCATGCCATCCAAACAGTAATTATGGTTATTTATTTGATACTGACAATATTGTTTTGAAGGATATGAATGTTTCCTGGGAAAAATCTGTATTCGCAAAAGTATAGGTACATACATACATACGCACGCACGCACGCACGCACGCACGCACGCATACATACATACATACATACATACATACATACATACATTCATACACACACATACATACATACGCACGCACGCACGCACGCACGCACGCACACATACATACATACATACATATACATACATACATACATACATACATACACACATACATACACACACACATACATACATACATACATACATACATACATACATACATACATACATACATACATACATACATACATACATACATACATACATACATACATACATACATACATACATACATACATACATACATACATACATATACGATAACGTCGCCTTGAACTGCTGAAGCCAGTGTGGATGTTCGAGCTGCTTTGCTTCGGTTGTTTCGCACCACGTGACCAGGTGACATAATTAGAGATTATTACACGAGCAAGTGTGTCATGCGACTTATACGAAACGAGTGTGAAATTTTGTATTGCCCGAGCGAGAGCGAGTGTAATAATTTCTTTATTATCCATTTTATCCATGAACATTTGTGCAGTAAAATACGGTAAACAAGTGTGACTGCCCTGTTTATTGACGTCACGTTCAATTGTTTAAGTGACGTCAAAGACGACGAAATAGAGAAACACTGGTTGCTAGGCAAATGTGATAAGTGCACATGTGCACATATGATATATATGACACTGGTTATGTTTCACCATATGGATAATAAAGTATATTATACGAGCGCATCGTTCTCCGTGCTCTCGGTGCAGCGTCTGTTTCAAAATGATATGACAGACTGTACATTATCGAGTGTAGAGCAAGGATTGATATAATGATCCACGACGCATGAGCAATTTGCATATACCAGTCCCTCCGTTAGCAGCCGCTCAACATTAGTAACGTATAGTGGATACACTCTATCCCGGGGCCCACGGGGAACACAGTGACCTGGAGTTGCTGGGCATGGTACTAGTTGCACTACTTGGAACTGCGTTCAGTTGGTGGGAACTTATACTCCATTGTAAAAAATGTTTAGAATCTCAGCAAATATAATATCGCTCAGGGATGTGCTTAAATCCCAAACAGAGTAGTAATTTGGAGGGTTCTTTATCACGTTTAGGATGTAAGTACGAGAACTGAGCTTATTATCTCGCAAAACATCCTGGACACCACCTTAACGGCCCGATAACCGTAAATAAGAAACCTCATAACCTGTAGAAAAGAGCCCTATATATATATATATATATATATTATGTATTATTATATATATATATATATATATATATATATATATATATATGCATACATACATATATATATATCTTTGTATGCATGTATGTATGTACGGTATGCATGTATGTACCTACACTTTTGCGAATACCGATCTTTCCCAGGAAACATTCAGTTCCTTCAAAACAATATTGTCAGTGTAGCCAATGAAAATATCGAGAAAGAGAACCGTCTCCTAAATATTCCACGACACTTGTGTTGTATCTATATGCTGTACCCTATTTTTTTCTTCATCGTAATATTCCTCTTTTTAACGCTCAGTCATCGGCTTATGTCACTGTAAGGAAAACACTGATAAACTCACGTGGACACATTCATGTTGATACAAATTCTAACAATACAGAACGTCTTCCTGGCTGCGTTCATAAAGGACACATAAAGGAACACATAGGTACAGGTAATCGTTTTATCTTCCACGACGCCATGTCTTGTGCCGTAGTTGCGTACCTTTCATGTATGTTACGACATAAAGTCTATTGCCCCCTTACGAGACCTCGACCCTCACACCTCAAACACTCGTCAGAATACAGGGTCATATTTCAGGGTGATATATCTTTGACAAGGGTTATCTAATATGTTGCTTTACACGTATGTGTCGTAGCTCTGCATCCTCCATAAACCAGGGTATTATATCTCCATTCTACTTATATATTGATACAATGGTGATAGAACATGACCCTGTATCCACTCGTGCTTCTTGAGTCTTCAACATCTAGATATTTACCAGGCAAAAATCGAGAAGAATCATATCCTCTACACTCCACTCCACTCTAGATCTATGGTCACCTACCAGAACCAGCGCCCTTTCGCATTGCCCTCCCTCTCCTGGGAAAAGCTACATCTTCCTCCTCCTCAAGAACAAGCCATCACTGACACCTAACTCCACCTCCACATGCCATTAACAGCCAACGACAGAAGCAACACCAAACCCTTAGAACCCAAGTCGTTGTTAATAAAACTGACTGAAACTATGGAGATCTCACGTAGGTGGACGATCCTATGTAGTTGAAACATCATCAGAATCACAGGGCACAGCCCAGTCAATCATCCAGTGAACCAGCTATCTCTGACCATATCAACAACTTCCCACCCAATAATAGCATCGATTAAAAAAAAACATACTTTGTTACTTCACTAACAGAAAAAAATTCAAAACATGTCTCATTTCTTATAATTGACGCACATTTTATTTACCAGATGAAACTATTTACAGGAAATTCAAACGCAGCACGTACATGTGGCATACGCAACTCACTCGCAGGTATCACCCACTCACCAGTCTGGGTACATGCTGCAGGTACAGAGGTCACAGATGTACATTCCCGTGTGTGTCAACACGCAGCAGCGATACAGGACACACACACGCTGTGAGGAGCTTGGACTGCCCTCGGCCTCACCTTGGGGAGTTTACCTGTCCGAGATATATGCCTCTAACCGCAAGCCTCGAATCGCTGTGTTGACACGTTGAGTTACCAATGGGCATTATAACGTGCAAGAATCTTCGACTCTCCAGCCACGATCCGCATTGATTTGTAAAACAAAGAGAGGCTATTATCTGACGGGAGGTCCGCGCGACCGTGACGTCACGAGGCAAGCAGACGACAAATTGACTGACACACGACTCTCTCTCACCCGCCTGTGACGGTAAGTTGTGTTCGTGTTACCTTCACTAAAACGGTCAAAGATTCACATATCATCAGAGACAATAATCCAAACACTTCTTCAGTCTAGTTTATCCACGTTCACTGCGCTTTTAGTAAGGTTTGAATAAGTTTTAGAAACTTATCTGTACCCCTTGCGTTATCAGAAGCAAGATGGCGGAGCTGTATGTTTTGAACCCTCGCCAAGGTGAGTTAATAATATTACAAGGATCAACTACTGGTCTCAAAGTCCATCAGTATAAATGTACGTACACTAGACTGGTATGGTATGTACCCGTAGATCTATGCTTTTATACAATTGGACAAAAGTGTATATTTTGATAGTAATATCTGTAGATTGATAGATGGATTGTATTTTGGGCGTAGGTCTATATATTCAATACACCATGATAACATTGTCGACTGAGTAAAAATGTTAAACTGACAAATGGTGTGGAAGTTAACACGAGACGGTTGCAGGTCGTTAACACTATCCAATGTTAAAGCGACTTCCATGACTTTAAATATATGGGATTGTCAGATGGGCACGTCTGCATCCAATGTCACTGCAACACGGAGTGAGCTAGGTCACGTAAAGACCTATAAAAGTACAATTATTTTTATCCTGATTTGTCAAGAATATTCATGTCGTATATTGTCTACCAAGCTGGCCCAACTCAAAACCTCATGATCACTGTCAGTATACATCTGCTATACCACTTATAACAACCCTCATTATTAGTCGGTATTTACTGTTCATAATTGCAGTAAATTAGTTTCTGTTGTTTCTTCCTATTATTTAGTTTATTGGTGTTTGTGATAGTCTTCACTGTGAGAACGGACTCCATGTTGTATGTTCACCTTTCTACCCTGGGTTGGGACCGCCTCCGTGGTGTAGTGGTTAGAGCGTACGCCCGGAGAGCGGAAGGTCGCGGGTTTGATCCCCGACCGCGTCATACCAAAAGACGTTAAAATATGGTACTTGTTGGTCCCTGCCTGGTGCTCGGCATTAATGGGTACAACAAGGACTGGTCGACTCGGAGTCAGTAGAATGTGTCTGAGTGGGATATTCATGCTTCACTGTGGCATGGTATCTCAGTGGGCTAGCACTATAAAACCAGCTTAATTCTGGGCTAGTACAAGCAGCCGCACATCCACATACACACGCATGCACGTCGTCATGTGAGCGAAATATTCTCAAGCACGACGTAAAACCCAATTTCACCTCACCTCTACCCTGGGTTCAGTTGTTCTATAACTCGGTTTAGGCCGTTAAACATTAGCACGCAGCAGATTACAGCGTGATGTGTATCAATAGTAACTATGTTGCCTGAAAGCACCTTAAGCTATAAGTAAAGCTTATCGTGTGTCTCGGGTGACTGCGAGATATATATGGATTGCGTGTTGCTTCTAACGGTAATAATCAGTAATACCCCTTACCTGACAACCACCTACCTGACCCTCCTCAGCGCCCAGGTAAACGTAGCAATCATCGGTTTGTGATGTCAGACTGACACCGCCGTAGATCGCTTGTTTTGTCAGCAGCAAAATTGAAGGTGAGCCGAAGAACACCTCACTGTACGACGGACGTGGCGCGTCATGTTTAAACTTCATTGTGATTCATTATTCGACATCAAGAATCAATAACGGGAGTTATTGACTCCTCTTTTGTCCAGTAGACATAAAGGTAAGTATTAACGCAACGCTGTTGTCATATTCTTCAATGTGTGAATTGAAGTCAATACTCAGCTGTGTTTGTCTAGTTCAGGCTGGAACAGATCAGACAGCAGTCCCCCTACTTCTCGTCGAGCACACGTTTCATCCCGCAACGAAACAAACACACCACAATACAAAAGCGCGATAAAATATTCAAATGTGAACTCGGAGGACTCATAACAGAATCGATTACAAAACAATAAGGTAATGATTGTGGGGTTTATTCTGCAGATTTTGAGGTATCGATAATGGAATGTGGCCAGTGTTGAAAGCGACAAGGCAGTTTGCTTGACAGAAACAGTTTGTTTACATTAGTACTGGGCGGTGATTGAGGGTTAGCTGCGCCGCTTACAACAAATATTACCAACAGAACTAGGACAGACAGTTTCACATAGGGGACACAGGTCATTATTTCCTGTGTTTGTGCATTCCTCACTGCAGTCGCTTTTATCCGCCTGTCATGACGATGTCCACAGGTGGTGACTATACGTACCAATTTATTTACTACATTCAAACGCAAAAATGATATTTTCTACATTAACACCTTGTTTGTGTGAAATTTAAACTAGAACAACACTTTTGTGCCTTGCAAGTCTGTAAAGGCTGTAATAAAATTCAAGATGGTTATAAATGCTTGTTAGGGTAATTGTAGTTCAAAGCATCTCCGCCTGAATGGGCAATCATACGGAGTCGTGCAGCAGTGCTTGACCTGTTACCTTGTGAAAGAGGGAGAGTACCTAGTTCTGCATGGTTGGTCAGTAAACCAAGCATTCTGGCGGTGGTGATAGTCGAATGTTGCCTCCCACAATCTAGGAGACTGACTGAAGTAGGTGAGACTTACAGGTTTCCTCGCGACAGACATTTACGTGACAGCTGTCTAAAGTATCACTGAGTATTCACACACAACGCTTGTGTTTCGCTGGAGAGTAAAATCTCAGTATTCTTTTGCTCTGACGTTCTATATTTAACTTGCCGTGGTTCAACAAATGGACCAAAATGTTGATCTCTGCCACACATTGTGGACAGAAAGCGTTTCATAATGCGCCGATAACAAATGCACGATGGTATAAGATAGGTGAACATTAACGTGTGAGTGAGTGGACGTCCACATCAACCAGTCAGTGATAACTGACGTCAATAGTGCACGAGGTTGCATCAGACGGAGGGGCGTTTTGTGTGCAAAACAGTTGTACAAGCACGTGAAAGTTGAAAGATGTATGTCAGAAGTAAGGAAGTACACTGATTCCCTCACTGAAGTAGGAAGTACACTGATTCCCTCACTGAAGTAAGGAAGTACACTGATTCCCTCACTGAAGTAAGGAAATACACTGATTCCCTCACTGAAGTAAGGAAATACACTGATTCCCTCACTGAAGTAAGGAAATACACTGATTCCCTCACTGAAGTAAGGAAATACACTGATTCCCTCACTGATGTAAGGAAGTACACTGATTCCCTCACTGATGTAAGGAAGTACACTGATTCCCTCACTGAAGTAAGGAAGTACACTGATTCCCTCACTGAAGTAAGGAAGTATACTGATTCCCTCACTGAAGTAAGGAAGTAAACTGATTCCCTCACTGAAGTAAGGAAATACACTGATTCCCTCACTGAAGTAAGGAAGTACACTGATTCCCTCACTGAAGCAAGGAAGTACACTGAATTCCCTCACTGAAGTAAGGAAGTACACTGATTCCCTCACTGAAGTAAGGAAGTACACTGATTCCCTCACTGAAGTAAGGAAGTACACTGAATCCCTCACTGAAGCAAGGAAGTACACTGATTCTGAAGTAAGGAAGTACACTGATTCCCTCACTGAAGTAAGGAAGTACACTGACTTCCCTCACTGAAGTAAGGAAGTATACTGATTCCCTCACTGAAGTAAGGAAGTACACTGATTCCCTCACTGAAGTAAGGAAGTACACTGATTCCCTCACTGAAGTAAGGAAGTACACTGATTCCCTCACTGAAGTAAGGAAGTACACTGATTCCCTCACTGAAGTAAGGAAGTACACTGATTCCCTCACTGAAGCAAGGAAGTACACTGATTCCCTCACTGAAGCAAGGAAGTACACTGATTCCCTCACTGAAGTAAGGAAGTACACTGATTCCCTCACTGAAGCAAGGAAAGTCACACTGATTCCCTCACTGAAGCAAGGAAGTACACTGATTCCCTCACTGAAGCAAGGAAGTACACTGATTCCCTCACTGAAGCAAGGAAGTACACTGATTCCTCACTGAAGTAAGGAAGTACACTGATTCCCTCACTGAAGTAAGGAAGTACACTGATTCCCTCACTGAAGTAAGGAAGTACACTGATTCCCTCACTGAAGTAAGGAAGTACACTGATTCCCTCACTGAAGTAAGGAAGTACACTGATTCCCTCACTGAAGTAAGGAAGTACACTGATTCCCTCACTGAAGTAAGGAAGTACACTGATTCCCTCACTGAAGTAAGGAAGTACACTGATTCCCTCACTGAAGCAAGGAAGTACACTGATAAACACACCAAGTATGTGGTAGCTGTGTACATCCAATGGTTCGTCATGCATCATTACATATGACATGGCACGAATAGTTTACATATTCCGTCTTTGCGTTTATAAACTGCATGGTCAGGTTGAATAAATCCATGGTCTGTGAAGCTATCATTCAAAGTAGTAAAACCTTGACTCATTACTGTTGTTACTTTCTCTTGTAGACAGACTTGTTACCATGCGTGTGTGAGGAGCTGGTTGGATCAGCTGAGATATGGAAGCGTTACATCATTGTATTTTGAAAGATTGTCACCAAAACGATACCATGTGTCGCCATTTAACCGTCAGTCCTTTCAAAACAATTTCCTCAAACAGTCTCCTACGTTTGACACATTCTTGGCGATCGGTCGAACTCATGTCACTGTTATGGTTGATATAAATATAACGTCATATGGTATATGCTCTTGAGAGGGGAACCCTAGTCGTGTTGATATATAGATATTAATCGTGCATAATATGGATTTTGTAATGCCTCTTAGTAATTATACAGCTATGTTTTATGTACTATAAATAGACCCACTTTGACTCGGGGTAGAATATGGCACTTATACTTTAGTTATAGCTTGACGTGAAAGAGGTGACTATTTTGGAACAGGTGGTCGGTGACGTGGGTACTTGAGCGTTATCGTCCCCCGAAAAAGAAATCATTGGATTGTCCGGTCCAGATTCGCTTATTGAAAGGGTGTCATGATATACCCTGGAAAGCGCTATTGCGGCGTAAAACAGTACTTAGTTTTTCCAACTAATCTCTTTCAACATGCTGTATGTGCCATGGCAGTAGACTGCAGTCGCACAAGGCGTATCTTACAACTAGCGCCCTGACTACATAGAAACAGGACAGAGTGACGTATGTGGTCACTTCACGTGACATTGTTTTTATTCTCACATCCTTGTTTGGGTAGTGTCAGTGTTATCTTTTAAACTAATGGTATGTTTATTAGGTTACCGTAACCTGTATAGTCTTAGTTTATCTGTCTCGTTCAGGACTTAACCCACCAAGGTAGCTTGCTTCCCAGTAAGCCTCTGGCGGTTTATCCACAGTGGCCAAAAGCACGATAGGGGCGCTTCTCTGTTGATTACCTGCCCCTATAAAGGTTGGTAATTTACATATAAGAGGGTAATGGCGACTTTTTCTGACTAACGGTGGGGGTTGGGCGTGTTCGTGGATGACCCGAGGGCAGAACGCTCACTATCCATCACAGCTGACCGCAGTCTGACCACAGCCTTGCCGTGTACTAAGCGTCTGCCACCTCCGCGCTGACTTCGCGACAGGCCCTAAACTTTAACTTCCTATTTGGTTATTACGTAATGACCACAGGGTACAGGTTACACAAAGAATTGTTTAGATTTCCTCATTGCACTGCTAGGCTGGGTTATGTCATTCGCGTTCTCGTGCCTGGGGTGCTGAGACGTGTTTGCGGATAGGTCCAGTATCCCTGATTGATATCGGGTCCGGCTAGGGCCGGGTGGAGAACAAAGGCAAGGTACTCATTCTCAGGTTCACAAGGTCACTGGACATTTAGCCTCTTTCTGAAGTAATTATTTCAAAGATGGCGCAGGTAAGATGCGCGAGATGCACCTCGCACATGTTTTCTGTTGTTTTTTCAAGTGTGATATGACCACATATGCTGACTTGCGAAATGTTATTTTGTGGAAGTTTTGTGACTGAATGTGTTCGCTTGTCTCAGTTCCAGTCCAGTTAACTGTAGAGGTTTACTGGTACCTTTCCCATTGTTTCGTTGTCATTGTTTGGTGAGGTTGGAACTATAGTTCCTCTAAGTTTGCTGAGTATGTCTCTAATAGGATCTAAATTTCTTTTACGTGTGTGTGAAAGACAGTGAAGTCGTTGTTGGAGGAATTAACATGATTGATAACTAAGTGACGAAACGTTTACCACGTCACGTTGTGTAAGTACGACAGCAAGTACACTTGATTTAAATATATATATACACACGTCAAGACTGCTTTATGTGCTCATATTTACAGATGACGGTGTGTTTATATTACAGAATATGTTACTATACTATATTTATTTCACTCACGTTGACAAATGCAGATTCCTGTTTCAACTCTGAAATAGACACTCTGAGGTCCAGTCTTGATTCCATATGGTTTATGTGGTGGTATTATTGAACAGAGCTTTAAGATACTATATTTGTCCAGTGTCATATAGGTCCCGTCCAGAGTAGTGTTTACCAATATACGATAGAGTGTATGGTTGACGTGAGTGGTCATGTTCCACATAAACGCCAGTAAATTGGTACAATAACAACGTGGCATGTACGTTATCTAAACACGCGAGGGGCTTTGTACTGGTTGTCCACGCTGTTCCTAGCACGTCATGGGTCATACATTGTTTCTTTCCTCATTAACATTTTGATGGAGTTTGACCATACTTAGTTATCAACGCGAGCATTGTGATGTCGAATAGAATAGCAATTTGCGCGCTCGTTTATGACGTTGCGTGGTCTACTGGATAGAGTGTCTGCCCGGAGTGAGGTTGTTCGATCTCCGGTCCCAATAATATAAAATACGTTAATATATGGGGCTTGTTGTTACCTTTCCTTTGCTCTAGGCATTGAGAGAGAGGAGTGGGGGAGGCAGTTAGTTTATTATGTGGTTAATAGACATATTACAAAACAGGTATCTAACGAAAGTTCTTATAGGGTTTTGTTGTAAAGTAAAGGGCGGTGGGGTAGCCTAGTGGTTAAAGCGTTTGCTCGTCACGCCCAAGACCCGGGTTCGAACCCCCACATGGGTACAATTTGTGAAGCCCATTTCTGGTGTCCCCCGCCGTGATGTTGCTGGAATATTGCTTAAAGCGGCGTAAAACCAAATTCAGTCAGTCAGTTGTAAAGTAAACATAATTTATAAAGTGAATACTTTCGAGTTTTTAATGAATATTGTGTTCAGTGTTTCTTGTGTTGTGTTCCAGATGCAGTGGCGTGAACTAGAGCGGGCTATTGCCGACAAGAAGACCGGCAGTCTGACAACATGGCACGCCACATACATCGTGTGGCTCACTCTAGCCATGCTGATTATCAGCAGTCATCTGTTCTTCATCGTCCTCATCCTTGCCAAGCGGACACTTCGCATACAGCTCAAGAACCTCCTGATTGTCAACATCTGCTTGGTTAACCTCATGATGGGTGGGTTTATCATGCCAACCGTCATCCACCTCATTCTGGACAGCTCGGAGGATGAATGTATTCTACGAATGACAGTGAGAGCCCTGAATGACTACCTACAGCCTGCACTGTCCGTCCTGACCGCCATTGCACTGGTCATAGACCGGTTCCTGTTCATCATGCAAAAGCCAATCACGACTAAGTGGCTGAGGATTGTTGTTGCTGTTGTGCTGATGATAGCGCCGTGGGTTATTGGTGTCATCCTTGCTGTTCCTTTGTTCTTTAAGTCCTTCGAGATGGGAGACCCAGAGATGGGCTGTGTGCAGGAGGTTAACCTCTGGAACATCGTCTGCGCCCATGTCGTTTGCTTTGTGCTCCCTTCAATCCCACTGTTCGTTCTAGCAACGCTGTCCGGCCTGTGCAGCACGAACAAGAAGAAGAAACCACCCAAGGAATCGATGTATGACTGCCGAGATAAGCCTATATCATTCAAAGGAGAGTCAATCAAAGTGGTTGTGCTTGTGTGCTTCATGACCATCTTCCCAGAGGTACCCTACTTCGTTATCAGCCTCCTCAGGTACACAACGGCCTGCGACCAGCCCTACTGCCTCGACTTCTTCCAGGCACTCAAGGTGTCAGTGTGGCTGAGGGCTGCCAAAGCGCTTGTGTTCCCCTTCATCTGGTTGTGGTTCACCGACATCAAGTCCGCCATCATCTGTCGGCCAACCGGTGCGGTGGATGAAGATGACGACGTCTCCGACGACCAACCCACGGATATGTCTCAACAGGATACCATGTTGCTGCGGTACAGGTGAAGAGGTGTAAGATGGCGACACAGGTCGAGATAGTACAATAACAACTACCCGCCATGTGTCCACCAACTGATGGTCATAGGACTTCAGCTGGTTCTCACTGCTGTGAACATTGAGTGATTTGAACATTACACACTTACAGAGTGCCACCCCCAACAACAAGGACATTGTAATGGGGGCGTTTTCGTCACACTGTTTTCATAACAAGACAGAACGCTTGACATTTCAAACTGCATGAAGCCCTGCTTTTCTAAAGCTGGGGATAGGTGTTGCTGCTTTGCTCAATGTCGCTTAACATTACGTCGTTTCCCCTCCATCAATCACTTGTTCTCACAGGTGGGAGTAGCTCATGTGATATTCCTCATCTAGTACACATTTCTAAACATTATTTTTTCTTTTGAAGAAATGGAGCGACCAAGAACTGATTTTGCCCAGTGTTTGCTTTGTACATGTTGACACGGTCTATGTAAGACAGTTATCTCTCTATATATCATTCAATATATTTCATCCTTTTCATTTCACAAAACATATTCAACCTTGACCATTTATTGCAAATTCTCACTGATGTGTCTTTCAGTACTTACTGGCCAACATACTAAAGAAGGCCCCTGTGATCCTTTGTTTACCTTTGACACACATAGTTCTAGTTAGAGGCCGGCTCTTCCTTTTCCCTCCTTCGTGCTCTGAGATCAGTATATACCTTTTTATGATCTAGTCAGTCTGTTGGTAGATGTTAGAATATACACTCTGTGTTTTCAGAGGTCTGTGGGTGTCAGTCATAGAAGCATTATTGTACACGATGGTGTAGAAGTACATCACATAGGGGAAGTGTATTGATAACATTAGCATAGATAAAGAAACATGTATTATAGTTGATAGATCTATAGTGTAGACGAGTTTAACCGTTTTGGATACCGAGCAGGTTGATTATAGCTTCTGTGACTTTGGTGCACTGACTAGATCGGAATAAAATGTCTCTCCGGGAAAATCAAAAGTATAGAAAACAAACATATCATTCCCATGGTTGTATACAACGTAATACACCAACACGACCGATGGGAAGAGATACTTGAGTGGACTTGAGTATATTTTGCATGATGAAAGTACATATGGTTAAATGGCTATGATATCTTCTATTCATGAGGGTAAGAACATTTTTCGCCAGCTCGTTATTAGCATCACATCAGTTACGCCGCTTTGCCGGAATAACTGATGCCTGATGCGGGGATATTTTCGCAAGAATGTTAATCGCTGGAAAATGACAGTCGCCTGTCCTAGCCGTCTAACTGGTGCTGCAGAAGCCAACTGCGTGCATTGAACTACACAGGAGAGTCATCCGTCACTGTCAGGAATGTAAATACTGTATATATATAAGCATACCTTGCAGCAGTAAACCGCCAGTAGGTTTGCTCTAGATCCTAGGTCATATCGTACTCAATCTGTCAAATCAAATAACTCGTCTCGCTAGATTAGAAGAAATAAAACGCCATTATATGCCTCTAGCAATGATTTGATCAAGTTAGACTGGCTTCTATGATGGTGTCAAATGTTTCGAACCTTTGTAATGGACACTTTCATAAGGGCACACCTATACAATGTAACATGTCAGAAATGGATATTTATCTTGTGATGTGTATTCTAGTCCAGATAAGAGATGTATGTCACCGTTGGACTGACAATCCTACGTTGTAGATATCCACATGTTGTGTTAAAGTGCACAATCATTACGTGTTTTTTTTATTGAACAGATGCTTTGCTTATCGAGCTGCACATTAATTCCAGCCGGTTAAGATTTTTCTTTTTGAAATAAAAGAGCAACTATACATCTTTGTTTTTTTTTTTGTGTGTGTACGTAAGGTCAGTGAGGGTATGACTAATTATAATTCAGAAATATGCTACGATTTTCCACATGGAGAGGCACAAAACTGAGGTACTATGAATGTATCTAGATCTCACTAGACGTGATCCCGCCGCATGTGTTGTCGTGACGACCTGCTTTCACCTGGTTTGTACATGAACGAACCCAATTGACCTCTATAGCCACGAATGCCTGGCGCCACCAGCATTGGTATCGCAAGTCATCCATCTCTCCCTCCCCTAGACTAACAACTAGTCTCTGAAATGAATATATTCTACTGAAAAAAGTTCATAGTAAAAAAATATATATATAATGAAAAGGAGCCCTGAGACTTTCTTCATTTGAAGCTGAGGAAATCTAGTCTTGCTTGGCCTTTCTTGGATATATTTGCTTCAGGGTCTGTCCGACAGACTATCCCTCCCCCTCTCTCTCTCTCTCACACACACACACACACACACACACGTGTCTTTAGGACGTTACACATGCGTGTGTGTGTGTGTGAGAGAGAGAGAGAGAGATAATGTACCAATTCTGGTGACGTCCTAAAGACTTTCTTGGCGTCATGCCAGGTGTGACAAGGTTCAGTTGCAAAACAATGAACTTAGTATCAGTGGATTAAGAAACTCTCCAATGTGAACAGCACCACGTCCTCGTCTCCAAGGTGCTGCCTATCGGGGCGGTACATGATAGACGAGTGTGTGCCATATAGCTGCTGACAGCTGTCTATCAAACGTCGCTCCATGATCATATTGACAGACAGCTGGCTGATCGTGACCTCTGACCGCCTCGCAGATAACATGATGTCATTTCACACGAGGAAGGTCTAACGTGAAACCTTGATCCGACATCAACCTAACGGATTAAGGAGTCGAGTAAAAGGTTGTTGAATAGAAGAGCTGAGACTTGAAGTGACGTGTACAATGACGGTCAGGTGGAATACATGGCGGACAATGGGAGGGCAGCATATACCTCATACCTGAGTCCAGGAGGGAGGACTCAGGGGTGCCCCATCGCCACGATATTGGGTCTTCAGACCCTCTATTCTAGTATAAGTGCTCGCCAACCAGACAGAGATTAAGATCAACGCTTGTGATCCTGAGCATGTGTCCCCGACGAGTAGGCTTTAGTGGAGGTTATATTATACGAGCGCTTCATTTCGTTCGCTTGTGAAATGCCCTTTGATTGAATGAGGAGCGTGATGTGATAATATCACTTTCACACCTTAATATTCATTTTGTAAAAACAATAAATGTTTTGATTTTGACGTTCGCAATGTGTCATCCTTAGAATGTTTTGTTATCATATTCCTCAATACAATAGAAAAGTATACTTCACGAGAATAACGTTTGTGTGAAGGGCAATTTTATTCAAGCAGTTTCGACACACAATAGTGATTGCTGTATTGACACAGTGTAAAAAAAACACACACACACACACACACACACACACACACACTGACTTCTTCTATTGAAGCTGATTTCCGGTTAACATCATCATAATAATAATAATAATAATGTACTTGTATAGCACCTAATTATAGTGGTGCTTCACAAAGTTAAAAATAAAATAAACAGAGTTATTGGTTGGAGAGATAGGGTTTCAAGTCTCGGCGGAATGACTGGACAGAGTCCGTAGATTTAAGAGATGTTGGGAGGCTGTTCCACAGAGTGGAAGCCACAACAGAAACAGCCTGGCTAGCTTACTTTGTCCTCGTGAAGGGTACACAGAGCTGGAGTTGATCAGATGAGCGGAGCCTACGAGCAGGGATATAGGGAGTGAGGAGGGCCTTCAGATAGGCTGGAGCAGTGTCAGTGTGGAGAACAGAAAAGCAGATGGTCAGGATCTTGAAGGATATTCGCTGTTTGATGGGTAGCGAGTTTTCTGAGAATTGGAGTGATGCGCTCATGTAGTCTAGTGCGGGTTATGAGGCGGGTTGCTTTGTTCTGAACTCTCTGGATCCAGAAAAAAGAGAGTTGCAATAGTCCAGATGGGACGAGACGTAGGAATGAATCAACGTTTTGCAGGTATCAGAATCCAAATATTTTCGGATTCTACCGATGGTGTGGAGCTTGAAATTGACGGTTCTTGCTGTTTTGAGTGCCTGTGCTTTGCCTGACATGCATTTGTCCATTTCAACTCCAAGATTTTTGACTGAGGATGACGGAGTCACAGAAGATGTTCCCACCAAAAAAAATAGTCCAATTATGTATCAACATGAGTATCATCACGTAACACACGGAAACCAACACATGCTGGCTTTCGAATGCACTTCCGAAGAACAGCCGCCATCTTCGATCTGAAGTTATCATAAAGAAATTCAAAGAAAAGTAATTATGTAAGGTCAGTGAGTGTGTGACTAATTAAAATTCAGAAAAATGCTACGGTTTTCCACATGGAGAGGCGTAAAACCGAGCGTCAATGAAGGTATCTAGACCTCACTTGACGAGATCCCACCGCATAATGATGTGAAGACGACCTCCTTTCCCCTGATTTGTACATGAACGTACCCAGTTGACTTCAACAGCCCCGAGAGCCACGAATGCCTGTCCTTTTGTGAATTTTATCAAGGATTTTACTCCGTGTGGAGAGGTGACTCACATTATTTAATTTAGGAATAAACGGGTAAATCTTAAATCTCATAAGTCAGCTATTCCATTAAACTAAAAAAACGTGTGTACGCATCAACCCTCTGTTTCACAGTAAAGCAAGGTTGAATATGTAGTCCCATATTAGTTTGTTATCTGTATGAATAATCTACTAGGCTGTCGTTCGAAATTTTCTTTTCAGATTCTTGAATTACATTACCAAGAATTCACACACCTACGCAATGCTGACGATCGCATTCTTCAACATTAACAATATCTCGAAATTCACAAATAGATAGACGCTAAAAGTTAATCTTAGTAAAACTATAGTTGTTGCAGTAGAGCCGGGAGCGGGTACTCCTAACTGGATCAAGTTATTAAACAACGTCATCCCCACTGAGATATCAACAAGTATACTACATACACAGTAGAGACACACAAGCTACACTAGGTGATCTAGACCCATTTCCTCTTACCGTCAACATTTAACAGTTATGTATAAATACTAAATACGTATAAAAAGATCATAATTGTAAACTGTTTTTCATTCAGCCCCGACGGACGATAAGTCAGGTGAGGAGATCAAACGCTCAACGATCGATAGGACTCATTGTTTACTTCCAGACCAGACTGATGGCAAGGCCAACAACACAGACTATATCTCGTGAAACAAAAATAATGCATCAACAAAGAAATAACTTTTCATAAATCTGAAATTCAAATCATTTTAATCCCGATCAACATAAAGGAACAGAGTAAAGACATTTACGAAATTTACAATATACAAAATTACAACTTTGGGTTTGAGAGAGGTACAAACCCGAACACATCCCTGAGAATAGCGTTTATGTACACCAGGGCTCTCATCTCCTCTTGTCTCTCTCTGCATCATGTTGGTCTCGATTGCCGAGCTATAGTTCAAACTTCAGAAACATAACCGAGCGTCCTGATACCCCAGCTTTAACGCATGTTTCACATTCTCTGTGAAAATACCATCTCCAGGGGCACGTTTTTTGCACAGCATGTTTCACATTCTCTATGAAAATACCATCTCCAGGGGCACGTCTTGTGCACAGCATGTTTCACATTCTCTGTGAAAATACCATCTCCAGGGGCACGTCTTGTGCACAGCATGTTTCACATTCTCTGTGAAAATACCATCTCCAGGGGCACGTCTTGTGCACAGCATGTTTCACATTCTCTGTGAAAATACCATCTCCAGGGGCACGTTTTGTGCACAGCATGTTTCACATTCTCTATGAAAATACCATCTCCAGGGGCACGTCTTGTGCACAGCATGTTTCACATTCTCTGTGAAAATACCATCTCCAGGGGCATGTCTTGTGCACAGCATGTTTCACATTCTCTATGAAAATACCATCTCCAGGGGCACGTCTTGTGCACGGCATGTTTCACATTCTCTGTGAAAATACCATCTCCAGGGGCACGTCTTGTGCACAGCATGTTTCACATTCTCTGTGAAAATACCATCTCCAGGGCACGTCTTGTGCACAGCATGTTTCACATTCTCTGTGAAAATACCATCTCCAGGGGCACGTCTTGTGCACAGCATGTTTTCACATTCTCTGTGAAAATACCATCTCCAGGGGCACGTCTTGTGCACAGCATGTTTCACATTCTCTGTGAAAATACCATCTCCAGGGGCACGTCTTGTGCACAGCATGTTTCACATTCTCTGTGAAAATACCATCTCCAGGGGCACGTCTTGTGCACAGCATGTTTCACATTTTCTGTGAAAATACCATCTCCAGGGGCACGTCTTGTGCACAGCATGTTTCACATTTTCTGTGAAAATACCATCTCCAGGGGCACGTCTTGTGCCAGCATTTTTCACATTCTCTGTGAAAATACCATCTCCAGGGGCACGTTTTGTGCACAGCATGTTTCACATTTTCTATGAAAATACCATCTCTAGGGGCACGTCTTGTGCACAGCATGTTTCACATTCTCTGTGAAAATACCATCTCCAGGGGCACGTTTTGTGCACAGCATGTTTCACATTTTCTGTGAAAATACCATCTCCAGGGGCACGTCTTGTGCACAGCATGTTTGAAATAAGAAACGATGGGTTTTCTAAATAGGTATTATTAGTTTCATTATCATTGGTATTTAATGATTCGGGTTTTTGTGTGTTTTCATTGCATGTTTATTGCATCATGATTCCACGTTTTAACAAGCCCGTATATTAGCACGTGGACAGGCGTATCAGGGGATACCGTTTCCACGTTGATAGTAAATAAAGTATAACTATAACTTATGATCAGACTCGGTTAGAGTTGGTTATATCGCTGCCTTTCTCTGATGGCGATTCGGTGCCTCACTCTGAAGAGGATGTTTGAAAGCCCGGATCTGGACCCAACCCAAAACAGTAATAGAATTGTCCTGTACTTGGAAGGGTATCTCTTATGAATCATTTCTCACCTCACATGTCATGATATGGATATTAACTCTGGACCACCAAATAGCCAAACATGTTGGAATAACTTAAGTACTTTCCTGTGGTATCTGCACTTGGCATCCACATGCTTTCCCCATATTTACTCTCCTTGAACTCATCTCAGTATTTATTACAAGGAACAAGTGAATGCAATATCTAAATTGGATTTACTGGTGAATATTTTCTTTGTATGTTTACGCCTTATTTTCTCGTTATTATCATTGTTACTATATTGTATATTTATGGTGGCCACATGCATACGTGCAAACACCAAGTTGCGGGTACAGCAACGTGCAGTGAACTTGGACAAAGTACTGTGACTATGTGTCCCAGTCCACCCAGCTGTGAATGGGTACCTCGTTAGGATGAGAAGGCCACAATAACTCGGTGCGCCTAGTGGCTGCAAGAGTTGTATGCTCCCCAGAGAGTTGAGATTGATAACACGATGTGCCGTTGAGACTGACATCCAATGGTCGAGGGAAAAAATACCAGCGCCTTGAGCAAGCACTAGTTGCCTGGATATGTGCGCTATATAAATATCATATAATAATAATAACAACGCTTGCTTGAGAGATGCAACTGGCGGAATCGGGTGGTCAGGCTGGCTGACGTGGTTGATAAATGTAATGGTATCCCAAATTCGCTTCGCATGATGCCAATCACTGGATTGTTTGTTCCAGACTCGATTATTTACTGATCATAGTTGGAATATAGCAGGACGTGACGGAGACAGCAAACACACAAACACTTTGTAACATAGCAGACCAATGCGCCAGATTACAAACATCGGTTAACACTGTACAATGCTGTGACCTTTTGATAAAGTTATAGAAGTGCCTGAAGGTCGGTTCCTGGTGGCACCACCGACGTAACCAACCACGTGTTGGCTTCCACGACGCCAGGGTTATCCAGCCTTATCTCTGAAGCCACGAATCAACGACTGTCGTTCCAACGCAAAGATCACATCGCCATTTTCTGTCATCACTCTTGATCATGAAGGTCCTGTTGTTGCTCGCTCTGTCCCTCGTCACGTGCAAGGTGGGTATTGAGGGTGGTTGGGTAACGTCTTGTCTATATACAAAGAAATTACAAGCCTAATGTTGTAAGTTATGCAACAATACGGTCAGCATATGGTTCCTTCTGAGTAATTCACAAGAGATAACATTTGAACGATTCACTTGTTAACAATGACTCCACCAAGATCATATAAAGCCACCACGAATGCAGATTTATGAAATAGGTGGTGTTTTAAATGCAAAAAAGCCAGAACATAATTGGGTACAGTCTGTGATTGTTAGTCAAATATTAGTCAACTGCCATATTTGTTGCCCTCAATCTTTATTCCTCAAAGTTACCGCCCACGGTAGTACATGCGTTATATAATACAAACATAATATTTACAACAAGATGGCAAATAATTTCTTGAAAAAATGTGACAAATTCTTAATTATCTTAATATTCCCATTACACATCAGGTTCTTATAATTTACCAAAGATGGACATTGGTAATTATACTCATTACTCCGACTTTTCCGTTGAGTTGATGAGTACAATCAAATAGATAGTGGAATTCATCTCCGATAAGTCTAGAGTTACACTTTGTACATAATCTTTCTCGACGAGGGATATTATAATACAGCCCCCCTTCTATTGGTAAATTACGGTTGCTTGTTCTAAAATATAATATTGGTTTATAAACGTTTTCATTCAATAGAAGATATTGCTCAAAGATATTTTTAACAACATATCCCCAAATAATTCAGTTCAATGTTTGTCAGTAGGTCAACATGATCAGCTCTCTTCATAACAAGGAGGGGTAGGCAGCCCCTCCAATCGCCCGAAGCAAAATTTAATAAAGCTGTTCGCAATACACTCAGGGGCAAAAGAAACGATACCAAACTTTTTGAAATTATAATTTGTGTTTGGACTTTGATATTTTGAGCATTTATGGTCAGAAACATTCAGTCGAACGCAACAAAACTGACTCAATGAAACAGCGATGCACGTGCAAAGCAAGAACCCAGAAAAGTGAACGTATTCACGAACGTTTCGTGCACGTGCACACATGACACACGTGACAAATATTCGGTATAAAAGCATGTGAAAATGTTTATGGACATCTACATTTTACGATTAATTTGCGACCATGCCGAGATTATCGAAAGAAGAGATAAAGGGCAATCGGCATGATCCAGCTTGACGCTACCCACAATCACGTCGCCAGGACCTATTGTTGTACCCGACTTACAATAACCAGGCTGATGACCCGTTACAGACAGACAGGCAGGACACAGGACAGGCCGAGGAGTGGCAGACCTCGGGTCACGACCCCAGCTGAAGACCGGTACTTGCGTACCCTGCATTTGCGCAACCGATTCCTCACTGTGACGTCATCAGCATCGACTGCGCTGGGTCATCGTATCAGCCGAAGGACGGTGTCCAGGAGACTTCGTCAGCATGGTATCCGAGCTGATGACAGCAGAATCCTCCTCAACAGACCTGACGGCAGGACACGAGTGCATCGACGCAGAGGAGAGCGGACGGCCCGTTGCTGCGTGCATGAGGTTGAGCCGTTTGGCGGTAATGGCGTTATGGTGTGGGGAGGGTTATGTGGTGACAGAAAGACAGATCTGGTTGTTGTCGATGGGAATTTGAATGGGCAGCGTTATATCGACCAAGTCCTTCGGCCAGTTGTTCTACCCTTCCTACAACAGAAACCAAGAACCGTATTTCAACAGGACAACGCCCCATGTCACACAGGTCAATGTGTTCAAGGCTTTCTCAACGCCAACAACGGTGTTGTCCTGCCATGGCCTTCACGCTCTCCGGAACATTCACTCATTTGTGGGACCATCTTGGGAGACAGATTCGTGCCAGACAGGTCGCCCCAGTGAACAGACAAACCCTCATCCAGGCTTTGAGGGAGGAGTGGAACAGGATACCTCCTCACGTGATCAGACGTCTGACCTCATCTGTTCGACGTCGTGTTAGAGCCTGCATCGATGCCTGTGGTGACCACATTCGATATTGACTCACAGGAGTGTCCCTGTGTCACTGACATTGACTTATCTCATCATACTGGAGTGATCGAATACAGGACATATGAATATTATGGGTTTTTGCAATTATCTCAAACAATTATTGGCCTCGATTAATGAATTTGATTTTCCATGCTCCTCACCTATTTGTCTTCAAATTACAACATTGATTTCTATTTATCTTTTGTTATCTTTTATTAATTAGCCTCAATAATATGGTATCGTTCCTTTTGCCCCTGTATGATATTGGAGTCGGTCAATATACACCTCTGTACCTCTAAGACAGCAAACAATATGATTGGTGTTTCGTACAGACAGCAAAACTATTTAAGTATCTACCCAGATTCCATTCGTGTTTAGTGTAGCTTTTCCCTGCACAACAGATCCGGGATAGACTTGGTCTTCAGTAACCCAGGTCACCGCGATATTGCTTGGATATGGTAAGGTTTTAATGAACGGGCGGACACACGGAAACCCTGACCTACGTGCGTGACCTAGTCATGTTCAGATCAAGGCCCTGTGGTCAAGAAGGGTCCCATTCAGATCCTGTGGTCAAGAAGGGTCCCTATACTACCTTGTCCTTTACACCATTCAGATCCTGTGGCCAAGAAGGGTCCCTATACTACCTTGTCCTTTACATCATTCAGATCCTGTGGCAAAGAAGGGTCCCTATACTACCTTGTCCTTTACACCATTCAGATCCTGTGGTCAAGAAGGGTCCCTATACTACCTTGTCCTTTACACCATTCAGATCCTGTGGTCAAGAAGGGTCCCTATACTACCTTGTCCTTTACACCATTCAGATCCTGTGGTCAAGAAGGGTCCCTATACTACCTTGTCTTTTACACCATTCAGATCCTGTGGTCAAGAAGGGACCCTATACTACCTTGTCCTTTACACGAGTCCGATACTGTGGTCAAGCAGAGACCCTATACTACCTTGTCCTTTACACGATTCCGATACTGTGGTCAAGAAGGGACCCTATACTACCTTGTCCTTTACACGATTCAGATCCTGTGGTCAAGAAGGGTCCCTATACTACCTTGTCCTTTACACCATTCAGATCATGTGGTCAAGAAGGGACCCTATACTACCTTGTCCTGTACACCATTCCGATACTGTGGTCAAGAAGGGTCCCTATACTACCTTGTCCTTTACACGATTCCGATACTGTGGTCAAGAAGGGTCCCTATACTACCTTGTCCTGTACACCATTCCGATACTGTGGTCAAGAAGGGTCCCTATACTACCTTGTCCTTTACACCACTCAGATCATGTGGTCAAGAAGGGTCCATATACTACCTTGTCCTTTACACCACTCAGATCATGTGGTCAAGAAGGGTCCCTATACTACCTTGTCCTTTACACCATTCCGATACTGTGGTCAAGAAGGGTCCCTATACTACCTTGTCCTTTACACCATTCCGATACTGTGGTCAAGAAGGGTCCCTATACTACCTTGTCCTGTACACCACTCAGATCCTGTGGTCAAGAAGGGTACCTATACTACCTTGTCCTTTACACCACTCAGATCCTGTGGTCAAGAAGGGTCCCTATACTACCTTGTCCTTTACACGATTCCGATACTGTGGTCAAGAAGGGTCCATATACTACCTTGTCCTGTACACCATTCCGATACTGTGGTCAAGAAGGGTCCCTATACTACCTTGTCCTTTACACCACTCAGATCATGTGGTCAAGAAGGGTCCCTATACTACCTTGTCCTTTACATCATTCAGATCCTGTGGTCAAGAAGGGTCCCTATACTACCTTGTTCTTTACACCATTCAGATCCTGTGGTCAAGAAGGGTCCCTATACTACCTTGTCCTTTACACGATTCGGATACTGTGGTCAAGAAGGGTCCCTAAACTACCTTTTCATTTACACCATTCCGATACTGTGGTCAAGCAGGGACCCTATACTACCTTGTCCTTTACACCATTCCGATACTGTGGTCAAGAAGGGTCCCTATACTACCTTTTCCTTTACACGATTCAGATCCTGTGGTCAAGAAGGGTCCCTATACTACCTTGTCCTTTACACCATTCCGATACTGTGGTCAAGAAGGGTCCCTATACTACCTTGTCCTTTACACCATTCCGATACTGTGGTCAAGCAGGGTCCCTATACTACCTTGTCCTTTACATCATTCCGATACTGTGGTCAAGAAGGGTCCCTATACTATACTACCATTTGTCCTTTACACCATTCAGATCCTGTGGTCAAGAAGGGTCCCTATACTACCTTGTCCTTTACATCATTCAGATCCTGTGGTCAAGAAGGGTCCCTATACTACCTTGTTCTTTTACACCATTCAGATCCTGTGGTCAAGAAGGGTCCCTATACTACCTTGTCCTTTACACGATTCGGATACTGTGGTCAAGAAGGGTCCCTAAACTACCTTTTCATTTACACCATTCCGATACTGTGGTCAAGCAGGGACCCTATACTACCTTGTCCTTTACACCATTCCGATACTGTGGTCAAGAAGGGTCCCTATACTACCTTGTCCTTTACACGATTCAGATCCTGTGGTCAAGAAGGGTCCCTATACTACCTTGTCCTTTACACCATTCCGATACTGTGGTCAAGAAGGGTCCCTATATTGCCTTGTCCTTTACACCATTCCGATACTGTGGTCAAGAAGGGTCCCTATACTACCTTGTCCTTTACATCATTCCGATACTGTGGTCAAGAAGGGTCCCTATACTACCTTGTCCTTTACACCATTCAGATCCTGTGGTCAAGAAGGGTCCCTATACTACCGTGTCCTTTACACCATTCAGATCCTGTGGTCAAGAAGGGTCCCTATACTACCTTGTCCTTTACATCATTCAGATCCTGTGGTCAAGAAGGGTCCCTATACTACCTTGTCCTTTACACCATTCCGATACTGTGGTCAAGCAGGGACCCTATACTACCTTGTCCTTTACACCATTCCGATACTGTGGTCAAGAAGGGTCCCTATACTACCTTGTCCTTTACACCATTCAGATCCTGTGGTCAAGCAGATACCCTATACTACCTTGTCCTTTACACGATTCGGATACTGTGGTCAAGCAGGGACCCTATACTACTTTACATTGTATGTGTCAATGACTTATTTGTGACAAGTGTTATTATTTTCTATTCAAGGCGTTTATTCTGGGTGGCTGCAGCACCGATAAGGACTGCGCTGGGGATGGATGCTGTGTGAAATCGTTTTTCAGCAGCAGATGCTATAACCGTCTTCAGTCTCTGTCAAGATGCTTACTGAAAGCGACCACCAATTCAAACTGCGCCAGCATGTGTGCCACAGGTAGGATCGCTGTGTAATAAAGTATCAGTTTAAGCATGCTCTTAGGTGTGAGCGCATTATATATATATGCAAATTATTGTTAGTATTGTTATAACCACCGGGGTAGGGATTCTGTTGATACTGCGAATTACACAACTTAAATATTTTGTGGAACCTTGTGTCCTATGCAGTTGGCCCAAGTATAAATAGTATTAAATTCTGGTAACACATTTTTGTGATGTTTGACCAGGTCTTCAGTGTGTTGACGAGAGTTCCCTGGATATCGCCATTGAGCCAGGCTACAACACCGGAATGTATGGTCGCTGCGCCCAGCCAGCGTCCGGGGCACCTGCAGTATTAACTACCGCTGCGCCAGTGGTAGCATCTACTTCGTCTAAGTAAACACACATGATGACAACACAAACTGAGTTATTTTGTTTCCTGCCCCTTCACCTACTGACGCACCAGTATCCAAACTGTTGTCGAAACAGATTGACAATCCATTTTTAAAAACAAGCATATAGGAATTATAAAAAAAACATGAATAGATCCATCAGAAAAATGACAATTAAGTAAAAAATTCCAGGTCAATGAAAGTAGTCGTAGGAGATATGGATTTGATCAAAAACATCACAAAACATTAAGATCCAAAACACAATTATCATACCCGTACGAAAAACACCACCTTTGAATAGCCATAACTTGTTCTATGAAATTGAGCCACTAACAGACATGAGTGTGTGCTTACTTCTTCCCTGCAGGAAATAATAATGTTTTTTTAACAACCAGTCAAACCGCTTTGTCTGCAACCGAACCTAGATGATGGCTAAACTGTTGCCTTCAGTGAATATAACCTTCAGGAAAGCAGGGGGTAGTTTGCTCTGAGGTAATTGGGTGGATGGTTAAACTGTTGGCACCACTGAATGTAACTTAGTGCAGTGATGTAGGTAGTTTGCTCTGAGGTAATTGGACGGATTGTTAAACTGTTGGCACCATTGAATGTAACTTAGTGCAGTGATGTAGGTAGTTTACTCTGAGGTAATTGGGTGGACGGTTAAACTGTTGGCACCATTGAATGTAACTTAGTGCAGTGATGTAGGTAGTTTACTCTGAGGTAATTGGGTGGACGGTTAAACTGTTGGCACCATTGAATGTAACTTAGTGCAGTGATGTAGGTAGTTTACTCTGAGGTAAACTGTTGGCACCATTGAATGTAAATCTGAGGTAATTGGGTGGATGGTTAAACTGTTGGCACCATTGAATGTAACTTAGTGCAGTGATGTAGGTAGTTTACTCTGAGGTAATTGGGTGGATGGTTAAACTGTTGGCACCATTGAATGTAACTTAGTGCAGTGATGTAGGTAGTTTACTCTGAGGTAATTGGGTGGACGGTTAAACTGTTGGCACCATTGAATGTAACTTAGTGCAGTGATGTAGGTTGTTATTCTGAGGTAATTGGGTTGGCACATTGAATGTAACAAGATTATTATCTTTAGTAGGGGTACAGTGTAAAAAGGTACAGTGTAAAATGGCACAGTGTTTAGATCCAAACGTAAACTTCAGCGTGTTCCTTGTTCCATCATTACCCCTCACTTGAAATTCATAGTGAATTAAAACTTGCTGTTTTAGGGTTAATGGGGAATACAACATTTTCAGGGTAATTAACCGCTTTATGAACACAACACGACTAAACCTTCGGAGGGATACGAACTTCCAAAATTATTATTATTATTTATTATTGGATATATAGCGCACATATCCACGCACTAGTGCATGCTCAAGGCGCTGGTATTTCTTTCCTCGATCATCGGATGTCAGTCTCAACGGCACATCTTATTATCAATCCCAACTCCCTGGGGATCATACAACTCTTGCTGCCACAAAGCGCACCGAGTTATTGTGGCTTTCCCATCCTTACGAGGTACCCATTCACAGCTGGATGGACTGGGACACATAGTCACAGTATTTTGTCCAAGTTTACTGCACGTTGCTGTACCCACAACTCGGTGTTTGCACGTATTCATGTGGCCACCATCTGGTCATATACCAACGGATTCGTGGGTTCTTTTAAGTGCACAGGTTTGTTGTACACTAGGGGTTGTGACAACACTGAAAGAGTCTGCACACAAAGTTGACTCCAAGATTTTTACACCTGGTCACAGGTGGGCTCGATCCCGGCACCTCAAGCCCGCTGGATCACTAGCCTGGCACCTTAGCCAGCTCGCCCACCATGGCCCCCAAAATAAACAACTTATGATTAGGATACAACTAAGTGTCAAAATGTAAGTGTCAAACCAATGGTCATTTGAAAGATTAGTAACTTGTTAAAGAATTTATAACTACTATCTTATACTGATGTATATTTGTGTATATAATATAAAAAAGACAAGAGCGAGCACACCGCCTCGAGGGTCACCAGCTGACGTGGAGGTGACAGGTGATTTGATAACAATATACAGGCATAAAGTGTAGTCTCTTTACAAGAAACGATTCCGTCCATTAAATAATTGTTCCCATATTTTTTGTAACATGACAGCTTTGATCCCGACATTTTTTCAACACCACATATCCGGAACCAGCAGCTTTGAACATATTGTTTTAGAAAAGAAGTGTCGTTATGTTATGAGTTACAAAGTTTCTTTCTGAACAGATTTAACTTTCAATTTGTCCCCAGCACAACAAAACAACCTTTCTTTTATTTATTTCTCCGCGGGTTAGTCGTAAAGATGAGGACTGTTTTGCAAACACAACACAGTCAGCACACAACTTGGCGGGATGAGAGTGACAACATCAATCAGCACTGTGAAAGCAAAATATGTTTTATAAAATGTTTTTTTTTATCTATTATAATGCGACGTATATTCAGTAGGGGAGACTCGCATAATAATAGATTAAAAGAGTTGTCATCTACTAAAGATCAGAAAACAGCTGCTCGCACATTCTCTTCCCAGAGAGGTTACTTGTCATATCTTCCTACGATCCTCTGTTCTTATACGGCCGTATTTCCCGGTTCTCGTAAAATTCCCTAGCGGCAAAAAATCGCAGCACGAATTATCTCCCTGCTTTCTATCCAATCAGAACACGTGTTACATCGACTTAGATTCAACTTGACTACTACAAGCAAATGTGGGGCCACAAATATCCCTCCTCTGCCGGAACTTGTGTTGATGTGACACACAAGACATTTAATGGCTGGCTTGTCCGTTGTCAACGAGGGCGATGGAGACGCCATTGATCCGTCATTACATGACTGAGTTCTGTCTAGAAGAAACGTTTGTGCATCGCGCAGGAGAAGAGGTTCCAGGTTTCCCGAAGAATACCGAAATTACCGAGGCCTTGCGAATGATCCACTTTTGAAACAACTTCACTGATTGCACAACTAAATCTTATTGCAACCAATCACGAATCCTGAACGTTCGCACTATGAAAGGGTCGTATTAGAACAGAGGTTCGTAGGAAGATATGACATGAAACCTCTGGGGGAAGAAAATACTGCTCGCATTGTTTCTTTAAAATCCAAGTCAGATCACATAACACCTATTCTCAAATTCCTACATTGGCTTCCTGTTGCACCGGGCATTGACTTTAAGCTCCTCTGCATTGTCAACATGTGCCCACACACAATCTTGTGCCAGCTTATCTCACTGCTCTCATCACAGATTACACCCCAACTAGAACTCTTCGATGCCAGAACCAGCTCTGTTGACAGTTACCAAAGATTTTCATTTGCATTTTAGTTTCATTTGCTCTGTGACAGCATCTCCATGTCTGTGGAATTCTCTACCTTTCAACATTAATCTTTCTGATTCTCTCATAAGTTTAAAATCTCGCCTTTAAACTTATCGTTTCAAGAGCACTTAATACTAACTCTTAAGAAACCCCAACCTATCCCAACCAACTAGAGTTAAGTCATGCAACACGGTCGCCCGAGAACACTCTGTCTCAACCAACTAGAGTTAAGTCAAGCACATTCACCTGGTCGCTATTGTTAGAGCGAGAAAATCCTCCGTCTCATACATTGAAAAATAATTGTTGCGTACCAATTACCTCTGTGTATAGCATTCATCGCTAGTTGAAAAGACAAACAAGTCCTTTCAGATATACAGTATTTGTACAAGGGTAATTGGACATTCGTAATACTTAAGTGAGTAAAATGACTGAAAACCTGACCGGAAATCTTACAATCTGCTTCAGGAAATCCATGTACCTTGTAATACTCCAAGAATAGTGTTATAGCGCACAGGTATCTGAGTCTAATTAACATATTATATTGATTCTGGGAATGTATCACGATGGACTGACTACATCAGAAGAGTGTATACCTTTGCTGCTGGACGGAGTTGTTCGTCCGTAGTGCCTTCAGCAAACATCCGGAGACAGACCATATGAACATGTCAGGTAAGGAAACCGTTAATGTTCACAGTTAACAATACGACGTATTTATATAGTAGTGACTAGATCTATTCACATATTTTTAATACTTTTTATATGATGCATTATTTTTTACGTCCAGGTGATTAAGGACAGGGTGTCACGAACACCCCGTGTCTTCAATGATTTTTAGTGTCCCATGTATATAGTTTTCTCAGTTATTTTGACCTTTTCCACCAGCGGAATCTGATTCCATCACGTTTCTATGACCTGATATGGTGCTATTTGCGTCGTGGTGGTGTTTTTAACTCGTTCTGGGAGAAACTGTGGAGAGACCCGTTACTACATGAGTCACTTCCGGTTGAATCATTTTATATTCTTGACTACAGTTGTCTCAAACCTCTGAAACAAACTCTAAAATATAGCTAATGAAAACGAGACGAGAAAAGGATTCGTCTCGCTAGTAAACTGTACTAAATGAACAAAATATTTTGGAACCTTAGCTATAAGGTTTAGGGCTGTGGACTGACCGTTCATGTGGTTTTAAGTCATTTTTCCAAAGGGTTCGAACTCCCTGAACCCAACCCAGGTTTGTTTTCTGCATGCCATCACAGGCATTGGACTGGTTCAGGTTATTTACACGTTGGTTGTTGTTTAACGCCGCACTCAGCAATATTCCAGCTATATGGTGACGGTCTGAAAATAATCGAGTCTGGACCAGAAAATCCAGTGATCACAGCATGAGCATCTATCTACGTAATTGGGATACAATGACATGGGTCAACCAAGTCAGCGAGCCTGACCACCCGATCCCGTTAGTCGCCTCTTACAACAAGCATGGGTTGCTGAAGATCAATTCTAACCCGGATCTTCACGGGTTTATATAGTTGGAATATTGACGAGTCCGGTGTTAACAATCCGAAGCGTCCTTGACATCATTCGATTCGAGTCGTTAAAACGATGATGTGCAATCTTCAATTATTGTAATTTCTCGTGGCACAATGATTGGGGAACGTACTGTAAGAGGACGAATGTTACCAAGTGTTTCGACGA